TAATTTTAGATATTGCTGCACGGAGAAAAAAAATTCTTTTAAAATTAACTATTTGTATAACATTTCTTGTTAAAAAAAATGGTAATTCTGGTTAATAACAAAGAAAAATATAAGGTATTTAAAACATTCATTTGGCAATTTTTCCAGTCATATGGTAAAGGTTGACCATAAATTCTGGCTTCCAAAACTATAGTTTTTATTCACATTTAATAAACAAATACAAACTGAAAGGTAAATTTCACCGAACAAATGTTTTGAGGCCATACTCTAAATTATAGTGATAAAATTACCAAATTTTTCCACATTTACCAAATTGGATCACATGTTATAAAACTATATTTTATAGTTAATTATTCAAAAATCATAACCAAACCGTTTCGGTAAAAACTACCGACCTATTTAGCGTTCCAATAGAGCCAGAAGCAAGGTAAATTTTACCAAAATCTGCTAATTTTGACCATATTTTATTTTTCTTAGAGTGCAAATAAAAAAAAATCATTTTCCATTGCTTTTTTTAGACTGTCAATGAAAAAAATTCTAATTATGATGAACTAATTTTTTATTAGAATGCATACAAAGCGATTTTTAATCTGTTTCTAAAACGATTATTTAATAGTTTTTCCATAATTAATAATAAACAATCATAATAAACGATTATTAAAATGGATGTTGCTTTTAAAACTACTGTTAAAAGATTTAAAATTAAAAGTTTATTTAATTATTGTTGTAAATAAAAAACCATCTTCCCCCGCTTTTTTTTCGTATAATTACAGAAAATTATTCCAATTGTGATGAACTGATCCATTCAAATTCTCACAATAATTATTTACGTAGAAGTGTAATTTTTTATTAGAATTTAAGAAAACGATTATTTAATCGGTTTTTAAAACGATTATTAAATTGTTTTTCCCATAATTAATGATAAATTATCATAATAAACAATTATTAAAATGGATGTTTAAAAACTATTGTTAAATGATTATTTTAAAAATAAAAGTTAATTTTAATTATTGCTGTAAATTAAAAAAACATCTTCCACCGCTTTTTTTAGATGATTACAGAAAAATATTCCAATTGTGATGAAAATTTCCGTTCAAACTCTCTCAATAATTATTTACGTAGAAGTGTAGTTCTATTAGAATTGTAAAAAAAAAAACGATTATTTAATTGTTTTTCGCATAATTAATGATAAATTATCATAATAAACAATTATTAAAATGGATGCTTAAAAACTATTGTTAAATGATTATTTTAAAAGTGAAAGTTTATTTTAATTATTGCTGTAAATAAAAAATGATCTTCCGTCGCTTTTTTTATACAATCACAGAAAAAAATTCCAATTGTGATGAACTGATCCATTCAGATTCTTTCAAGCGGTAAAAACTTTAAAGTAAAATTCTTTTATTAGAATGCGAAAAATAAAACGATTATTTAAACTTAACAGGTGGAGTATGAGGAACGTGCATCGATTTCGAACCAACCCTTGACAAACGAAAAGAAAGAAAGTGTATAATGGAAAACTCTTTTCAACAGAAGGAACAGAATAAGTTTATCCACAGATGTGTGTCTATTCAGACAAAAATGTTGAGAGCAACAGTGAAAACTATCATTTAAATGGCTTTTGAGAAAAACCATTTTGATGTTTTAGAGGAAGAAACGATACAAAGGGAAAAAAGAAGAAGACGTCAGCAAAAAAATAAACATAATGTATTTATTCCCAGTTGTATTGTAAGAAGACACTATTTCATTATGTTTTTTATGTTTGAATACAAAGTTTTTACGCATATAATACCCGAAAATAACGTAGCATACTTAAGGTTTAATATTTACTGCTCTAGTAGAGAAATATATGAGTTTTTTTTTTTAAATATTCTTATTGGAAATAGTATTTCTAGAAGCATAGCCTTAGATACATGATAGATTTAGAAAGTAATAAATGTGATGTTCTGAATAATGCCGCACAATTTTGGAAAATAATGATTCATTAAACCTTTAATGATGATTAGAGAACTAAACATTTCTTACAAGGAGAAAATAATTCTAGTAATATTACCATACTATGTGATAATGACATTTCTAGCAAATAAAAGCAGTAATTCTGGCTAATAAACCGTTTAAACCCTTCATTTGGTAATTTTTATGTTCTTATGGTAACTATTTACCGCAAATTCTGGTTTTCAAAATTACTACTCTTATTACCCCATATTTAGTAAAAATACAAAACTGAAAAGTAACTTTAACCGAATAAATATAGATTTTATACCATGCTCTAAGATATCCTGGTGAAACTACCAAATTTAACCACTTTTACCAAATTTTATCGCATATTATAAAATTATGTTTTATTATTAATTTCACCGAAATTATTACCAAATCGCTTCGGTAAAAATTACCGAACTGTTTGGTCTTCACAGAGAACCAGAAACACGGGGTAATTTTGACCATTATTTCTTTCTCAGAGTAGACTAGCTACGCTGAATTTGGATGAACTTATTTAATTTTAAATTCTGATTTTTTCAAAAAAAAATTATATTTTATTGGCAAAAGTACACAGAATTTACCTAAGGTTATCTCTGTTATTTTGGAAATAGATTAAAATGTCTTTTAAACTTAAATACCTCGTTCTATTAGTGCAATGGTTAGAAAAAATAACGGTCATGACCACAGGGGCCAGAACCTCATGTTTGAGGTCCAAACATGAGTTTGGGGTCTTCTGACGCACCATAGAAACGTTATCTGCAACATAAACGATTAAAACTGTTTTTTTTATCATGTGATAATTTTTAAAAAATCAATGACTATTGGAAATCAATGACTATATCGCAGCAAATCTAATTTTTAGGAATAGTATTTAGTACTATGCAATATTCCGACACAGCGGGAATCGTTTGCATTAATATTGTTTACATCCTTGTTAAAAGAAAAGGCAACAAATAGACATGCATTTTGATGAGAATAGGAATTATACAAACAAATTATCATGAAAAGCATGAAAGACCTTTAAATTTATATCATGACAAAAACTAAAAATGACCGTTCTTGAAAAAGAAGAAAGAAACACTCCCCCCCCCGCACAAATAGGTTCACTTTTTGGCATATGTAGAATTTATGTTTTAGCCATTTTGATATAAACTTTCATAATTCAGATTTTTTTAATTTTCCCAATCCACATTTTTTTATCCGTTTAAGATACAAAAAAATTATTTATATCTTTGAAAACAACGGAAAATTTCATCAAAGTTTCATCTCACTTATAAATATGCGACAATAATTTTTACGAATTGAAATATTTTATTATGCTATTTCCAAAAAGCAGACAATAAACAAGTACTGAGTTTTATTAATATTTTTGTTTCATACATTGTGTATGTTGGAGCGGTATTAAAGTGGTTGAGTTTATAAGTTATTCAGAAACATTTTCTTACTTGCAATTTAAAACTTAGCTTACTTTTTCCATTTCAGATTTAGTAATTTCCAGAAAAACTACTGAATCATAATGCTATATTTTTATTCTTTTATAATGGATGGTTATTATACGAATTGATATGGATATAATAGATGGTTATAATACAAACAGTATTTGTAGTTTAGGATCTTAATATTTATAAATCCTTAAAAATATAATATTTATTTGTAAAATGTGTTCTAGCCATTTTGTTATAAACCTTCCTAATTCAGACTTTTTTTATTCGTCCAATCCACATTTTTTTCCATCCGTTTAGGCTACAGAACAATTATTTATATCCTTCAAAACAACAATGGAAAGGCTTCAGAGCTCACTTTTAAATATGCGACAATAATTTTTACAAATTTAGATATTTTGGTTTTTTTTTCCGCAAATGTCTTGTAGCAGACAATAAACAAATATAATTTTTTTAATATTCTTATTTAGTACATTGAACTTGTTGGATTAGTTTTAGAGTGGTTGAATTCATAAGTTATTCAGAAAAATTTGCGCTCTTTCGATTCAAAACATAGCAAATTTTTCCCATTTCCGATTTAATAATTTCTAGAAAAAACTACGAGTCATATTGCTACATTTTTATTATTTTATAATGGATGGTTATAATACGAAAAGTATTTGCAATTTAGGGTTTTAATCTACTTGTAAACACAATCTTTATTTGCAAAATCTATGAAAAATGTAGCTTTTAGTCAATAGGAATGGATGTAAGCAGTGAATATGGATTTATATTTAACAATAATTTAATAAGAGTTTTATATTCTAATCAAGTATGTTTAATATAATTTAACGATATTTTAAGTTACGAAATCAGACACAAAAACATACATCATGATTTATGACCCCAAAAATATAAATGTAGTTGCAGTCTGTGAAATAAGGTCCTAATAGTTTGGTCAGGAAGGAGGTCGTTGGTTCGAACCCCATAGTGTAAATTTTACTTTTCGCGTGTTTTGCCATATCTCAAGAATTTGTTTAGTAACTTCAAAAAGATTTTGGCACACGATTATAAAATTCGTTTATCCAAAGATAATTCCTCACGAAAATAATTTTCATTAATCTTTTATAATTTTTTATTAATTAACTTAACAATAAGTGTAAGATAAAAGAAAACTTTTTAGATGATTTCAAATAATGTAATTTTATATGGCAAAATACAAAATTTGGATGAAATCGGTCGTATAGTTCTTGAGAAATTGGATTTTAAATATCTAATTTTTTTTAATTAAAAGAGATAAAACTCATTTTTTGTTCGTTTTTTTGAAATTTTCATTTACTTGGTGGTTTAAATTAATAATACTTTGTACTGACTACTAATGAAGCTTTATAAAATCTGAAAATAGAAGCTTAATTACTCAAAATCTAAATTTTACTTAGAAGAGTTACAAAATGGATCACTATTATGATTATTTAGATAAGTTTAACTATGTATAAACCCTCTTTGCAAATAAAGATGTTAGAGCATTTAATTTAATCGCATTTAATTAAATGTGCTCATACTATTAACACAGGATTATTTAAAAGGAAGGATAAATACCATGAATTCTCTAACTTCCACTGAAAATTGTACCCAATTTATTATAATATATCCTCTTATATGCAATATCACCATTTATTCCAGTAAAACTGAAATATATCGTAAAATTATACACAGTTTTCATCATTTTCAAACTCAATTCTTCAAATTCATAGAAAAGGAAATATCCAAATGACTTCATATAAAATTGCCTTTCCGTAAGGTTTTTTGAACCTAAAAAGAAAAAAAATATACTTAAGTATGACTTGAACATAGTTATAACAAGATCTAAGTCTTAATAACAATAAATAAACTACTTGAATTTACACCTAAGATATAAGTATAAGTATAGATTCCTTAAGCCTTTGAGTAAATAAATTTTTTATGCATGCTATTAAAAAACAGGAAATGCTATTACACTAAAAAAACAATGGATAATTAAAATTATGGGGACAGATTTGGGTAGGACGTTTTATTTTAAAATTAAAAATTTAATGGATTCACATAAAATCGCCCTGACCTCAATTAGATTTCTCGATGTAGCAAATTTTATCCAACCTAGAAATTTTCTATCTCTGTTTTATGGAAATTCCTTATTAATCACGGATACTTATATTAACGCCGTGGGGCATACAGAATTAATTTTTTGAATTTCTTTACAGTGTTTTAAACTTTCTAATATCTACTAAGCAGCTATCTAGTGTTACCCCATCCGTAGAGGCATGGAAAGCAACAAAACAATTTCCTTGAAAAAATTGTATATTTACAAAAAAAAAAAATTTTTTTAGATGATTTGAATGTAACATTGACACAAAAATGTTATTTATAACTTGTTAACTATGTATAATATATCCTCATAAAAGTGTGACTAATGACAGTTGAATTAAATTTGCTCCATATTACCTCCCTTTGAACTATATATGAAGTTTTTTAATGGGATTTTTCAAGTTATATGCAGAGCAGGCACATTTTATTTTCTATGTGAAGGAATCTGCCTCTATTATATACGTCTATTAGATGAATGTCTGTTATATGTGACATATTTTTTAAATCTGGTATATTTTTGATCATTAGTATATTCATTTTCGTTTGTTGGCATTTATCGTCTTCTCTCATTTACTAGCTTAGTTTACCTCTTGTAATACATTATAATGACTTAGAATCTCACTAACTCATTCCAGAATTTTTTTAAAGAAAGAAATACTATCTTCAATTTAATAATTTTAAAATAGTATGTTAAAATATTTAACTAATATAATGCTCTTAGCCAATAAAAAAATTTTAAATTTTCATTGATTTTAATAATTTCCTTCAAAAAGAAGAAAAAAAATATTGATTTTTAATAAAAAATTCTAAGTTTTTTTTAAAAAAAATACTTAAGATATCTGTCTGTTGTATTAGAAAAAACTATTTTCAAAAAGGTAGTATTTAAAACCAGCGCTTTGTTTAGAGTTAAAGGCCCTTAAACTGTAGCTTTCATATTTTCCTTGGTGAAATAGCTTCTAAGATCTCCTTATACAACCACACCTCAAATTACGTAAAGAAAATTAGTGGCATCAAATATAAGTTAAATAGAACGTAGAAACTCTACAAAAGCAAGTACTTGAAGCAATCTTTAAACAGCGATCATTCAAACTCATGTGCTACAGGCATCATTCATAAATATTCCGCAGTCATTAATGCGGAATTCTTTGTTCCCCATCTGAAAAGATGGGACATCTGTTACTTTCAGTTAAATGTCCATAAGGCCGTTCTTCGTTGTCGTCGTATGAAATAACGCTTTTTACCGGATAATGTTCTATTTTCATATCTGTTGAGTGTATGTAATAGTTATTCAATAGTTAGTCAAATATGAATAACTATTCATAACTCATGAATAATTCGTCTATTCAAAATAAAAGACTAATTCTTGAGTTTGCTGGATCAGTTTAAAATAGTTAAAATAAAACTTTCGTCAGTAATGAACGTAAAAAAATTAAACTAGAGATTTTATGTGGATTCTAATAAAAGAGCTATACTTTCTACGAAAACTTTTGTTTTTAGGGATATGTCTGTATCCTTTGAATTTGTTTGAAAGCAATATCATTAAGCTATTAAGAATGTTTAAGTAATTTTAAGAATTTATGTACCATACAAATAGTTCAGGGAAAAGAGGATTTTTTTATTAATTCTGTCTTTTTTAATAATGTCCTTATTTTCGAATTATTAATTATCTTATTTTTGAATAAATTATTAACTCAAATGTTACAAAATATTACCATACAAATAAGAAAAAAATCAACTACGACCGACTTCTCAATATTTTACCGATTCGTAAATTATTATTCTACAAACTGCATGGAGAAAGAAAATTTGAAATTTAGAAAAAAAAGAAAAAACAATTCTGATAAATAAAATCAAAATGTATGGTATTTAAACTATTCATTTGGTAATTTTTCCGTTCATATGGTAACTGTTTGCCGGAAATCCTAATTTTCAAAATTATAGTTTTTACTACCGCTCTTATTTAAAAAAAATACAAAACTGAAAACTAAATTTAACCAAATAAAGCATTTTTATGCTACGTTCTACATTATTATGAAAAAAGTTCCCACTTCTCCCACATTTACTAAGCTATATTACATATTATAAAAAAACATATTTTACTGTTAATTTTACCAAAACTATTACCAAAGCACTTTGATTAAAAATATTCAGGCTTTTGCTTCCCATAGAGTCTGAAACAAGGTAAATTTTACCATATTCTTGAAGTTTTGAAAATACTTTTTTTCTCCGTGTATTCCTACTATATTTTGTAAACCATAACGATTTTCAGCATAAAAAGCTATTATTAGTAGCTTAAAGGCTAACTATCTTAAAAGGACCTAGATACCAAGCCTAATAGGAATATTTTTCTTTAAAAGTTTCTTTTGTTATCCCCCAAATTCATAAAACTACTCCCTCATAAAATTCAAAGCATGAAAAATGTAAATATTTTCAAAACTATCTTAAAAACTTAACTTTTTTGAGTACTTAAGATCAAAAATATTCTTTGTCATTTGTAAAACATTCGTTAACATTATTCGTTGTATGTAATGTGGCAGTTATTATGTCCGCATTAATTGGCTGAGAATTTTACATTGTTCGAGATCTGACCCTCCTGAATGCTGTCTGTAAATTTTGTACGCATGCATTTTGTTTAATTTTTATTTGTATATTTTTTCTGTACCTGGTTTTAGAATAACATACATACAATTCTAAAATTACTCACACCTACCTAGAGATCCAAAAGGCAGTCATTTACTTTATTTCTACTGTATTTGTTTTTCTATATTAATTTGCTTTTTTTTTCTTTATAAATAGTATTATTATCAGAAAATATTTATTAAGTGATTAGTATTATAATTTGAAGGATTTAAAATAATTATAGTCATCCTTCTGATTCTTGTTTCTAAAACAAAGGAAAAGTAAAAATTTTAAGCTACGGGATAGACGCATTGCACACTGTGCTGATTTTTTTTAGCAGCAAAGAGGGTAGGGAAATTTTGTCACTTACTTTATTCGCACGTATGCAGTGAAATATGTAAACGAATGCTTTTAAATGTCTTTCTAAATAAATCACCCAAACAAAATTTTTTGTAACGCGAAAAAGTGAAGGAATTACGGGGCACAAATAAGCATATAAATATTTTTAATTTAAAGTTGATGGAAGTCATTACAACTATACTAACTCATACAACTAAAATTAAGCTATATTTAAACAAAAATGCATAAAAAATAATTAAAACCATCAAAAATATTCATATTGAATACTTAATTATGAATTTACCTAACTAAAAATGCATTATTATATAAAAAATAATTATATATATTTTTAAGAATAAAATAATTATTAATTTACATAATTATATAATAATAGTTATACAATAATAATTATATAATAATGATTATATAATAATAATTATATAATAATAATTATATAATAATAATTCATTGTATAATTTCTTAACTTAAAATATATAATTATACATTAAATAATTGTTGAAGGAAATTACACATACCTTTTATGCTGCCTTTCTCAAGATTGAAGATGTTGACGATTCTTGTTTCTAAAACAAAAGAATTTAACTTACCTAGACTAAAATCTTTCTCCAATAAATTTTGACGACAGACTTACTTACGATTGGAAAGATGACGCTTAGGAAAACGTTGATAATTGGCAAAGAATATAAAATTGAGATAAATCCTTGTAAAATAATAAATAAAAGCAATTTTATTTGAGGAAAAATACGCAAAAAACAACCAAGATAGTTTTGTTGTTTATTATACACTGATTATTCAGAACAAATAATTGATTTCAATACACTTTATTCTCGATTTTTTGTTTCTGGTTTTGGAACAGTTGTAAAAAATAGAACAGTATCTTTAATAGTATAATTTTTATAAATTTCAATATTTTGGCCCCGTTTCTAATTAAAATTTTATGCGAATTAAATCGAGAAATTAAGACAAAATTAAACAGACTTCCTTTCATTGAGAGAAGACATAAATTATTGAAAATGAAAGTTGCTGATGCTTTGCAAAAGGAAACTGAATATATGAAACTGAAAGAAATTTCGGTAACTAAATTTATTTTATCTTAACTTATTTCCGCTGCAATTACACACCGGTATGCTTTTAAAAAAGTTTTCTCATTTTGAATAGTGTATATTCTATACGTGAAACATTTAAAACACACTTTATTGCTCTGTGTCTTTCGGATAGACAAAAAAATTAATTTGTTGACAAAAAATTTATTTTACTACAGAATTTAAATCATTTTTCAGAAAATATTTCGAAAAATAAGCCACATCTAGTGTATGATTTTATATTTTTAAACGAGATATCTTTAAAAAAACTAGATCATAGAACTTCATATAATATAAACTACGTCATTTTCAAAATTCATTTTATTGCTATTTTTTACTTTTTTAATAATGAATCCAAAATTGCATGACATATTTAAGTTGTGCTAAGTTAAAGAAAAGCTATCGAAATAAAATGTCCTATTTATGCTTTTTACAATAAAGCAAAGTGTCAGTGGACTTAGCTAATTTTTCTGAAATGAAGGAAAAATTTCAAATCCAGACACGACGGAGAGTTCTATTTATTTAAACAATACTTGAATGCAATATTCAATGCTTGATTGACATTAATTTTCTAACAGGGTGATTTTGATAACTAAAATCTTGTCAAAGATGTCTAACATTTAACCT